GTGTGCAGCTGGACCCACCTGATGGGGCCAGCGCCCAGCTGGAGGGGCTTGACCCAGAGGTGAGTGGTCCCCTGGGGCGCCCTGGGCCTGGACCTCCTGGACTAGTTGCTCCGAAACCGCTGGGGTCTGCTGCGTCAGATGCGCTGCCTGACCCTGTGGGCTGTGCCAATCAGCATGACCGTTTGAAGTAGTTTATTGCAGAAGCTGGAGGGATGGCCTGCAAGTCTGTCACACACGTGGGTTCCTGCGGCAAGGACAGGCAGGGACCTGGGTCTCCAGGGCCACACGAGAACTTCCTCTGCTCGATAACCATGGCAGGACCTGGGGAACCAGAGGGCGTGGGGAGGATCCGCAGGACATGCGGGGGCCGCCAGGTCTGGAGGGACACCCGTGCACGAAGTGCGAAGTTCTCCCCTAGCTCTGGGCTCCGGGACCCCAGCCAGCGAGCGAGCACACGGCAGGGCCAGTGCCAGTCGCACCGACCGGAGGTCACATCCTGGTGGTGGTGCTGCCTGGCTCACTGTCCCCGCGCCTCCCACTTCAAGTCTCGGAGGGGGTGGAGCCGTGAGCCTCTGCGTCAGAGGGATAAACCCTGCTGGGCACCCCAGTTTAGATGCTGATTCCCCAGAACTTAGGGAGTGTCTGAGGCACCGCCCCCAGCGCCGGGACAAGGGCCCCTCTCCCCTAGATGCATTGTCCCCCAGCCATCTTGGTGGCTGACAGTCACGCCCTCAACGCCCACTGGGACTGGGGTACATGGAGACTGAGGGAAGGTCAGGGCTGCAGCTAGCCCACATCCAGCCACCTGGCACCTGGTGATTCTTGGCCCCTAGCTGGAAGCCCATTGGTGAGCAGATGTGCCAAGGGACCCGCACCTGGAGTAGGCCCACCTGCCTAGCATTTGCCCCAGTGGATGTGTCACCCCTGAAGTGGCCATTGCTTCCAGCCCAGTTCCTCCTCCAGCCCCATCACAGACCTGGGCCCACAAACCCCATGTGGGAATTGCCCCATTCTTGCCCTTTTCACCCAAGCACAGCCAAATCCACCAGCTATTTACTGCCCCACCACCTCCCACCTCTGAACCCTGTGCACCCTTCCCCCCTGCTCCCCTCAAACACTCAGCTTGACCTTAAAGAGCCTAAACACCCCCCCCCCCCAGCTTCCAGCCTAAGGTCTGGCCCAGGGACCAGAGCAGAAGGTCCTCTCCCAGGACTTCCCCTGATGCCCTTGGGGCTGCACCAGGCCCGGGGCCCAGAAATCCAAGTGAGGTGCTTCCTGCCTCCAGGTGTGCCAGCTGAGGCACCACGAGGCCCACCAGCCCTCCAGACCCTGTGGGCACATGCAACATGCCTGACTCAGTGTGACAACCATGTGTGCCTGTGGCAGCCACTGCGGGGAAGGGGCAGCACCTCATGGGCTGACGAACCTGAGATTGACCTGGAGACACCATTCTCAGGTTGGTCAGTCCTGGAGGCACTGCCCAGGGGCAGCTGGCAGAGCCCTCACAGGCAGGTTTCTCCTCCTGGACCCTCCCCTTGAGTGTGCCAGTAGCTTCTGAACCAGTATAGGAAGTGGCTCCAGGTCTGCCTCCTGCCCATCTGTCCCCGCCCAGGTTCTGTGGATATGTCCAGGCTGCAGCCCCATCCTCACAGCTCTCCTCTCTCCTCCAGATGAGAGAGGCCCAGATGCTCAAAAAGGCAGCTCGAAGGCCACCTGGCTCCCAACCCCCAATCGGTCCATCAGAGGGTATCCGGGGTGGGCTCATCCATCCCTGAGGGCACCACCGAGTCTTCTCCTCAAACTGGACTCTCCTGATGTGTCCAGTAGCTGTGTTGGGTGCTGTCCCCTGGACAGTTTTGGACCTTGGAACCTGGGAGGCTCCCAGGTGCCAGAGGAATTGCCCCTCCTCCCACTGGCCCCCAATTACCCTCCGCCACGACTGTCTGGAAGGTGACCCACTTCCATCACTCCAGGGGCCCCTGGCAAGAAATGAGCCCAAGTCTCCTAACCTGTGGCCAGTCTCCCTGAGCTGCTTCTGATGCGGGGACCCAGCTGGAGGAGACAGGCCCCCACTGACCCTCCAGAAGAGGGAGGAGGCTGTCTCCCCCAGGGGGCAGGGGCTGGGGGGGGGGGCAGCTGCACCCTCTCCTCCTAGGACACGTGTGCATGCGTGTCTATGGGTGGATGCGGCTGCTGCACGAGCTTGTCTGGTGGTGTCGGCACGTGTGTGTTTTCTGGGAGCTGGTCAGTCCCCAGCTGGACTCAGGGGGGCCCACCCAGGAATGACCTACCCCTGCCCGGCTATTCTAACTGTTCGCCCCAGTTCTTATCTGGGAAACCTGGCTCGACAGCATGGCGTCTTCCCTGCCTTGTGGCCCTGTCGCACCTCCGGAGGGGCTAGGCCTGCTGCAGCCTCCAGGTTCCCAGCGCTCAGCACAAGAATGAGCGAGACACGGGAGAGGAAGACTCACCAGGTTCGGGAGAAACCCCTCTTGCTGACCTTTGGGCCCCAGCTCGGTGCTCTGTCCCTGGAGCCTGGCCACCCCTTGGACAAGCCTCCTGCCTTTATCTGCCCACCCTTGGCCTGGCCCCCACCCAGTGACTTCCTGTCTCCGCCCCATGACAAGCTTTTCCATTACATGGCCTTTGTGGGGGGCGGGGAGACCAAAGACACTGGGGGACAGGAAAGAGGCCAAAGCCAGGGCGGAGGGGCCGGGTGAGGGCGCCGGAGCCTGACAGCTCACCTAGAGCGGCCCAGACATCAGTATCGTGTGCCCTCACCCAGGCAGGCCTGCCACAGGCCACCTGTGAGGAGCCAGGAGCAGCGAAGGCCAGCTGCACAGAGTGAAGGACGGCTGACCCGCTGAGGCCCGGGCCACCTCTCCTGCAGCTGGGGATCTGGCCAGTGGCTAGGGACCCAGCTCATTCACTCCCTCCTACAGCTGCCCGCACACTGATTTCCCGCTTGGGCCTCCTGCCTAGTACACACACGTAGGGGGGGAGGGGGGAGGGGGGCGGGGGGCGGGGTGCCTGCAGAGGCTGCCTCAGAGACCCAGGGCCCTAGGTCCAGGCCAGGTGGCTCATCTAGGAGAGCCAAGGCCCCAGCTCTGCCCTCTCCTAAACCTGGCCCTGAGCCTGTGGCAAGGACAGCCTGTCCTGTGGAGGAGGCCGGCCAGCCCTGGCCAGGGTGCGCAGAGGACAGTGCCCTGACTCCACCTCTCCATGGCTGCCTTGCAGCTTGGGGATGCAAGCAGCCAAGCAGCTACAGCTCGGGGGCCATGCCCAAGCCCAGTCCCAGGCAGAACAGCACTCCCAGGCCCCCAGCTTATTGGTCAGAATTTCAATTTTTCTAAAAATTTATTTATTTTATAAAAGGTAGAGAGTGGGAGAACCAAGATGGCGGCATAAGGTATAGACCTGTGCGTGCTGCCTCCCACAACAACATCGAAACTACCAACTGTAAGACAAAACAGCTATCACCCAGAACCATGGGAAAGCTGGCCCAGTGGAAGTTCTACAACTGGAAGGAAAGAAGCGCATTGAGACTGAGTAGGAGGTGCAGAGGCGCCAAGAACAGAGGTACGGGGGCGAGCGCCAGGCGGGCTGCAACTGGATGCGCGGTTTTTTTCAATCGGAAGGGGATACAAGCTCTCGAATCCACTGAACTTGTTTGGAGCGGGATTCTGAGGTCCCAGACCCCTACGGGGAGAGGCTGGACTGTCTTGCAGCGGGTCGGAGAGCGAGGTGGCTTTCTCGCGGAGCTGATCGCAGGGATCATTGTTGCTGTGGGGGCGCGGCACTCTGGACGCAGAGACACAGAGTCTCGGAGAGGCGAGAGTCGCGAGAGCTGACGACACCATTGCTGTTTGCTCCGCCCTGTGATCTCTGAGACCCCGCCCACTCATTTACATCACTCCAGCTGTGCAGTGGCACAAAGGACCACCTGCGCAAGGAACCACCTGCGCTTTTGCAGCCTAACCCAACAAACTGCAGATTTCAACTCCTCGCATCCATAAGGGACACACTCAAGAAGCAGACTCAGGTTCGGAGGAAGCCAGAGCTGGACCTGGCTGGGCCGGCAACATGGAACCGCTGTACCAGCAAACGCACAGGCAGGTCCACCAGATCCAGTCTCACATGGGACGCCGGGAGACAGCAGACAAGCAGTCTGTGCACTTAGTAGAAAACGAAATCCAAGCAAGCATACCAGATATTCAGCCACCAAGAAAGCTTGGAGATTTTGTCCAGCAAGGAGCCGCCCAACAAAAGACAGAATGCCAAACTTCGTGTTGAGCAGTTAAAGTATGATGTCCAGCACCTGCAGACGGCTCTCAGAAACTTCCAGCATCGGCGATACGCAAGGGAGCAGCAGGAGAGACAGCGAGAGGAGCTTCTGTCTCGCACCTTCACCCCCAACGTGGGATGAGGTGCGCCCTGTGAGGCTGCGTGAAGCTGCGATGGCCCCGCGAGGCTGCGACGCCCCCTGTGAGGCTGCGTGAGGTTGCAACGCCCCCTGCGAGGCTGCGACGGCCCCTGTGAGGCTGCGACGGCCCCTGCGAGGCTGCGACGGCCCCTGGGAAGCCGGCAGAACCGCGCGAGCCACCCAGACGGCTTCGTCGACGGCCCACGAACCAGCTCGCAGCCCCACACACAACTATCACCCGAAGGGCGAGAGGGGTGAGAGCAGCTGTAGTGTTGCTTTCTCCTCAGTTTTGGTAGCGAAATCCTCATTTTAAACATAAGAGGACACATTATTTTAAAAAGCCGTTATGTGTCTCCGTACCCTTTCTGAGTAGAGTGTGAACAAGTCGTGAGAGACCTTTCCGAGCACAGGGACACGTTGCGGATGGAAATAGCTACATTTTCCATGTGTATGACCTTTGACCTGGCGACAAAAAGCGTACACCTATGGATGAGGACAGTGCGGGGGTAAGGGCAGAGGGTGGGGTGGGAACTGGGTGGAGGGGAGCTATGGGGGGAATAAAGGGGAACAACTGTAATAATCTGAACAATAAAGATTTATTTAAAAAAAAAAAAGGTAGAGAGTAAGTTATCCTGGTAGCACTTTAAACTGGAATAAGTTCATGTCTGTACTCTGCAAGCAGGGCCAGGAGGCAGGAGGTTGGGTGGGGACGCAGATGGAAGAGACTGGCGGCTAGCTAACCCATGGAGGCCACCTCCTCCTCGTCGCTGCCTTCGGGGACGGCGTCAGTCCCAAAGTAGCGGTCACCGAAGTTCCCTAGAGAAAGAAGCAGACCCTTATGGTGGGGACTCGGGCCCTGTGGCTCCCAAGCCCCGCGGACTGGCCTAGGCAGCCTCACCGATGCCGGGGATGATGCGGAACAGGTCATTGACACGCTTGTCCACGGCCGTGGTGATGATTCTCACGCGTGGGAACGCGTAAGCCACCGAGTGAACACCCATCTCCGCCATGAGCAGCGACAGCAGGAAGATCTTGTCCTCGGGCACATCGTGGTCCTGCGCCAGAAGGGACAGGATGGGGAATCCCAGCCCAGCCCCTCCGCCCGCAGCCGCACGGTCCACTCACCAGGAGCACGCGCACAGCCATCATGGCCGCGGCACCCGTGGACACGGTGCAGTCCATGAGGATCACGTGGTCGTCACTTATGTCCTTGGGCAGCCGCAGGTAGTGGAGCTGGTGGAAGCCAGAACGTCAGAGGACCCCAACCCAGGGCCGCGCCTTAGGCCCCGCCCGCACCTCTGGCTCCCCGCACGCACCTCCGGCTCCCCGGTGAGCTGGTTGGTCTGGATGAGGATCGTGCCGATGCGCACGTCCTTGCACACCGCCCGCAGCGCCGGCTCCATGGTCTCCCCCGCCCGCAGGATGGACACGCCAGTGATCTGAGGAGGACGGCTGAGCTGGACCCCGCCTCACAGGCCACCCCAGCCCAGCCCAGGCCCCTGCCCCACCCATTTGATACCTGCTTCCCTGCGTAGCACTTGCCGGCATAGTCCTGCCCCTGCGGGGTCTGCACGACGCAGTCCTGCAGCACAGAGGTTGGGGGCGCTGATGAGCACGAGGGGCTGCGCGCCCCACCCCCCACCCAGCCCTGCACACCTGGAAGGGCAGGAAGGACAGCGCGTGCTCGATGAGCAGCCGCATCAGCCTCTTGGAGTAGAAGATGAACTCGTCCCGGCTGGTCTCCTTGTCCCTGTGGGCCTGGGCTTCAGCAAAAGGCGCCCCGCCCGCCCTGCCCCGCCGCCCCAGCGAGCGCCCTCACCTGATGATGGTGTGCATGCCCCGCACCTGAGGCGTGCTCTTGAGGACACTCAGCGTCCGCGGCAGCGGGTGGCACTGGTGCGCCGAGGCCAGCGCGGCCCTGGGGACACAAACTGACTGAGCTTCTCCCACGGCCATCCTCCCGCTCCGGTGGGACGGCCGGTGGTGCCGGTGAGAGCTGCCGCCTCCCTCTTCACCTGGAGGGAGGGCCCTGGCCTGAGATGGCCCCGCCCCCTCAGGGACAAGGCAAAGGTTAAAGGACAGGAAGGCAGAGCAGCCGACCTTTAGGCAGGAAGCCAGCTGCAGTGGGAGCCTCCCTCCCCGAGGCTGGGGCCAGGCAGTGGGCGGCCTGAGCCTGCACTGAGCCCCCACCCGACACCTCTCCCTAAGGCAGGGGTGGGCAACCTCTTCCCAGCCAAGGGCCACACGATCTTTATAACCTCATTCGTGGGCCATACACAATTATCAACCTAAAGATTAGCCTGCTCTGTTTGGTCACACATGCAATTAACTCACCCCTGATGCCTCGGCAGGCCAGACCCCATGATTTCGAGGGCCAGATACAGGCAGATGCTCCCCACCCCTGCTCTAAGGGAACAGCTGAGCTTTGGGGCAAGCCCTGACCCTTCCCCCCAGGGGATGTGAGGCCCCTCAGGAGAGGGGGACAAAGCTGGCTGAAGCGCCCCTGCTGCCCCATGCCTGGAGGGAGCGGGGAACAGGAGTAGGGAAAGGGGAAGGGTCAGGGGGAGCCAGGGGGGAGGTGTGGGCAGGAGGGGAGGGGAGAGGAAGGGCAGGCAGGTGCAGCCAGCACAGCCCCCAGGCACCACACCAGGCACTGCACTCATCCTCACATATCCCAGCGCAGCTTCCTCTGCTTGCCAGGTGAGGAGGTGCAGAGCATGTCGGGGAGGGAAGGGCAGGCAACCCCAGGTTTACAGAGAGGAGGAAAAGAACAGAGAAAAGACCACTCAGCAGGAAGTACGGGCCCTGCAGCCAGTGGCCTGGGGAGGAGCAGAGGCCAGAGGGCCAGGACCAGACGCAGGAAGCCCTGGAGGGTGACCCAGGATGTCACCCCGCCCACCCACAGGCAGCACCTCCTGGCTGCGGAGGTGGTGGGGGGGGGGGGGGCGCCAGGTCCTTGGCTGACAGAGGAGGGGAACTGTCACTGGCTGTGCTTAGGTGTTTTCTCCAATCGGAAACCCCGGAAACTGTTTTTCTCAGAGCAGAGGCTTGCAGTGGGCCTGGCGCAGGAGACCGCGGGTGCCAGGGCCCACGTGGTGAGCCAGGGACCACGCAGTGGCAGCAGCGAGCGGCTCCAGCACAGTGGAGCTTAGGGGCTCTGAGCGTGGCCCTGGCCACCTCTCCTGCAGCTGGAAATCAGCCCAGCATATCCTGACTCCACAGAAAGCAGGTCACTCATGCTGCCCGCTGTGTGGGGACAGGATAGCACCCCAGGACTCCACTGGCTCTGTCTGCACACTGGCCCAGGGTGGGCAGGGGGCC